TATAGTTAGTAAACCAATGTTTGTAAATAAATGGATAGGTGTAAATAATTTCAAGGTTTCAAAGCAAAAAACAAATAGCTAGGTACATATTTATTACTACTTATACGTATAATATTACCCTAGTATTTACTGTTTATTTAAGTATTTATAATATGGGCTCCTGAATCTCCACAATTACTTTACAACAGCAAGATACCTATGGCAGAGAGAATACTTTTCACAGCCGCCGAAAGAAATGTTATAAATTATGCAGTAACTTCAAAATAAGACCAGTTAACCACAGAGTACGTCTAATAATAATTAGAGGACATCTATAATATATGTGAGACGTTTTTGACTATATTTAGTGAGATTTGGTTCTACTCTCTCTCCGCCCATATTTATATCACGTGAGATTACGCGAGTAGCCACCAACCAAATCGCAATCGAAGATAGGGATTAGAGACGTCTAAATATTGAGAACCCACCTACTGTGTTACTTGCGTTAAAACCACCTTAAGTAATATTGTATAGGAATCAGCCATATTTCAGTGGATAAACTTATAATTGAATACAGTTTACTATTTAGTTTCACACCGCTTTACTTTCGATGGTTGGTTGGCTTTGGTTCGATTCCTCGCACGGCACAAACATTTGTATCATGCCCTGAATATCTGCATTTGTTATCCCACCTTTAAAAGTTGTGTACATGATTTATTTAAGAGGAATAATTAACAAAAGTGGACCAGTAGTGAAAAGTACCTAACAACAATTTACGGTCTCCAAAGGATAAGCTACCTTATGAAACTCTAGGTATCTACAAAATTGACTGCAGTTGTTTGGAGTATGCAGTCAAACAAAACGTTCGATACATGAAAAGATAAAAGAACACATCTCTGCTGTCTGCTGAATAACACTGGAACAAAGCAGAGATTAAGTTGTGTGCACCTACAGTCCTCTACAGAAAGGTTATCTATGTACGAATCGTATGGGAGACGATTGAATTTAAAAAATATCCAAATTTCAACAGAGCTGGAATAAAATTATCTCTACGTGGAATTCAGTTCGAACAAATAGTTAGCAATAGTTAGTAAGTGTATGGATACAGTAAGTGCTGTATTGCAAACTTTAGTTGGACAATCTAGTGACATTAATATCGCTGTTACTATAGTCAGCTTGTGACCACGGCTAATGCAACCCAGTCAAGACGTCGAGAGAGTTAAGTATCATTATTTACATAAAATTATTCGTGTTAAGACCCGTGGGCTAATTATCTAACTTCGATCGCAACGATTTTCGTATGTGACGTAGTGACAATGGTCAGAAATATAAACTAAACACGAATGTTTTGATATAAATATTATGATGTAGTAAATATCTTATGACATTTACAATTGTAAACTTGTATTGTATCAAACAGGACAGGATGCTTTATGTTATTACTGAGCATGACTTAAAAAAACGACATTGCTTACCCAAAGACATATAATATTTACTTTTATAGATAGGTAACTATTACTAATATCTTGTGTACATATTTACTTTGCACCCATATTAACATTTATTTATATAATTAATTTACATTACTACATTTAGTAGAAAGAAAATTATATTGTTATTTTCAGGCTTATCATTGTTTGGATGAAACTAGAACATGCGTGGGTGTACTCACCATTTATAACATCGGTATTACAGTTTTAACATCGTTATTATTCTGGTGTCTGTACTGCTTTCAATGGAGCTATTTATATTTTCGCGTGTACAGCACTCAATATACAGACAGAAAGTACGTTCTTTTGTCAGCGTTTTTGGATATATAATAATAATACTTTCAAAAAGACTGAGACAGACACAACTGCTTCTGGTTGTTATTTTATTAACGGGGGTTATTATATCACAGAACATATATTTCTTAATCATGTATAAGTTTTCTTTATATCAATTGTTATTTCTATTTAAATATAATGCTCAATAAGTTCTACTTCCAATAACTAAAGAAATTTATACAGAGTTAACAGATAACTAAATTTAATAACATGATACCTTGATGTATACTTGTGACAAGTGTACTTCTTTGCCTAAACATTATTAACAGGCGCTCTACATAGATGTTTATGTAAGTATGTAAATCATTGCATAAATTTAATATCACAATTATCAATATTTTAAGTAATGAGTACTTAATTATAAGTTATCGCTTAGCTTTAGTTAAGAGAAATATTTACTTCCTTTTTTTACTTGGTGATCGGCATAACTATATGTTTATGCCGATCCCCAAGTAAAAAAAGAGTGAGCAAGAGTTTCACTATACTTCAATATTGAAGTACTGTGAAACTCTTGCTCACAATAAAAATCAAGGATACATTGTTTTTTGAGTGTAGCATCAGTCCCTGACAGTTAAAATTCCTAGCCACAAACAAATTGTTTCCAGGAATTAGCGCGCAATCTTCTATCCTCAATTGAAGAGAATTAGTAGAAGATTGGGCGCTAATCAGCAACAAGTCTGGTTCGGCAGACATTGATTTTAACATTACACACTCGCTGACACTAAATATTGTATTATATGTTTGTGATTTGTGTAAATCTTATGAGATGGCAATGTGTGAATTATTCAAGAATTATCTTTTATAATTACAGAAATATAATATCACGATTAAGATGGTTTCCTAGTTCTTCACGGCACTGATACAACGCCATATGAAGTTACTGTGCTTTCTTTTATACTGAAGTGTATTGGAACTTTTGGAATGTAAAAACCGCGAGCTGATTTTCTATTATTTTTTTTTTTAATTTCTAATATCCCGACTGTAAAAAGAATATGAGAAGTATCTATAGTATTATCGATATATCACATTATTCCTGCCAGGTAAGTACTGTCTTGAAAATGACTAGTGTTTTTATTATCCACACATGAGTAACACTTATGGACTAAGAAGTTTCTGAATTGAAATGAATTTTTATATTATAGTTAAGTTTCTGAATTAAAATAGATTGTTTGCTTATTGCCGGCTTCAGCAGTCTAATGGTTTAGCACACCTTACTTCACTGCACCGCCTTACTTCCGATGGTCGCGGATTTGATTCCTCGCACGGCACAAACATTTGTATTCGTGAGTATGACTGTTTGTATCAGTCTGGTGTTCTCTATATATAATGTATGTATTTATGAAAAACTATATACGTCTATGTATTTATCAGTTATGTAGTACCCATAACACAAGCTTTAGTTAGCGTAACTTGGGATTAGATGGCGCTATGTGAATTGTTCTGAGATTATTATTATTATGTTTTTATGACATGTCTTATTTATTAGTGCACCACCAACAATATGTTTTATACCACTTATGGTTAACTGGTACCTAGATAACGCCCTAACGTGTTAAGTCCGGCGTATGCTTTTATCACCTTTTTTTTTTATTCTCTATTTTGAATTATGTGCATTAAAGTTGACTAAAATCATCAATTCTGGACCGATTTTGTATACAATCAGTGCTATTTAATGTCTTGTTAATCATAAACAAATTTGTCCTGATTGAAGTAATGTATTTATAGGTATTGTTCAAATAATAGATATCTAAATTTAGATAATTTGTTCTGAAATGTTATTAGATATACTTACCTAACAGCAGCATTGCTCTGGTAGGATAGATAGGGAGTTATCGAAGTTTACTTTTGTTCAGATGACCTCAATTTAACTAAGTAATCGAAGTCTTAGTAAAACTTCCTTTAACATGGCCTTGATGGATTGATAAGGTTGTCAAATATGATGTCTTTTACATCTAAGTTAAAATATGACCTCGTATTTATGAAATCTCATAGATTGATCTATAATTTTCGCATTACACTAAACTGTCTTAATGCCAGTCCTTCACGGTGCAGGAAGAAAATCTAGTACTTACTCGTATATCTATCTATTACATCTTTTGCGCATCCACGTTAATTAGATAAGTCCTTACACGCTTCATTCGTGCACACTAGGTCCGGTGATATTGATCTGTCTGAAACAGTCGTTTTATTACCGTAATGTACCTGAATTTTGGATTAGACTAGTTTTGTTTCCATTCATATTGTAGTAAATTGAAATCAAATAAATTAAGCTCAATAGTTATACCTAATAAAAACTCAGTGGCATCCAGTTCCGAGCTAAGCAGAGCTTGTGCTATGGGTACTAATCAAACGTAGAGATACTTAAACAATATTATTTTGTATATTAAGTATAGGTAGGTATACTAATTATGTATTTTATTGTTTGTATTAACAAACAATCATACTCTTTTGATTACAAATGTTTCCGTCGCACGAGGAATGGAACTCGCGACCATCGAAAGTAAGGTGGGGTATCTATGTAACCTACCTAACCTGACCTATAACTAATTATAGACAATTTCATAACCTAATTCATCTGAATAGTACCTACTTCAGATTATCGAAACCGGCAGGCAACACAGAAAACTAACTCGCCAACTAATGAGGAAGTGGAAATACGAGTTTATTCATTTGGTAGCGCTGACCACGGCTTATCACAAGGCCATTCGGAAGAAAGAATACCAGCACAGCGGTTTGGTTTCATACGACTATGACGGATTATAGATTTTAATAATATTTAAATATTAAAAAATAAGTAGCAGTGTGCCACTAAACACTGCATTGAGCATTTAATATAGATACATAAGAATAGGAAATAATATGACCTACAATACCTGCAAAGTTTTTCACTACAAATGTCCGAATATATTATAATTGACTGAGGCAAAATATAGACAAACCATTTCACTGAGAATCCTAAATATATAGATCGATGTTCGATGTGAAACTGCTAATGATTGATGATGACTATGACTAGCATTAATAATTTCAAAAATGTAGTTCTAAAAGCGTGGAGAGGGCATAAGCTTCAAATTCGCATCAACAATTTACATGTTATGTTCGAAATATAAAAGATTTATAGTTAAAATTTTGTCGTATGACTATTTATTAGGTACGTACTACAAATAAAACTTATTTTAACAATTAAATCTTTTATTTGTAATAGCCTCTGTGTCAATAAATAACAATGTTTAAGAAATGCTTAAAAAGAAAAAAGTTAAATTAAATGATTTAAAAATAATATAGTTAGAGGTATAATCATGACGTGTACGTATAACAACTTTATAGTAACAACGACACATTTAATTTTAAAGAGGTAATACCGGTTTTCTAAAACTTCTTGATATCAAATCATACCTAAATTGATAACAATTAATCAAGTCCTTTTAAAATGCAATCAAGCATTTTCAAATGACTAGACAATAGACAGAGGAAAATAATTTTTGATTATGTGTTACAACATAATAGTCATGTAATTTTATTATCATCAAGGAAGTTTTAACATTTTTCTAATACAACTAACTTTTTTATACTTAATCAACCACAAATGTTATATGTGTATATTACACTGTTGTTCGATATTAATTCTTTAGATTTTACCACAAAAGTAAGCATTTTATACAGTTAACTCTAAAGACTGAAAAACTAACCTCAATCACTACGTAAGTTATCGATCTGTATGCTCCGTATTCTAAATTAGTATACATAATACATTTTTTGTTTCATAAATGCTTGTCACAAGCAGTTTATCTATTGGCAGTATTTTTGTGTGACATTGTTTACATAACACAAGAATATTTCTAAACCTTTGACTATTAAAATCAAAGATGATGTTTACCTATTTACTATAATTTTATTACTACCCTACTTTCAATTTCATTAGTACCTTGAATGGATTATTGATGAATTATTATATATTTCACATAGGTAAAGTTATATAAATATTATCCACAATTTTATATAGCTATCTAGCGATAACAAGTAATGAATTCTAATATAGTATGTCGAATTTAATTTCCAACCACATGATATGTCTCATGTTCAACTTTATAATTGCACTAAGTATCCAGACAATAAATTCGTAAATACTTTATATTATTTATGTATTCTTAACTACAATATAAAAATAAAACTGATAAACTCTTCTAAGTACATCTAAATAATTAATTATATTAACTATTTTTTCAACATTCTTTCATTCTGCACGTAAGCTTATTGGGAATTGTATGTATAAATTAATGACGTTTATCCTAGTGTAATTTGTAATGATAGGTATGTCACATATTATGTCACTATTTTACAAATACAAATGCAGTTTTATTCGAACTAAATGTGTTTCATTTTTATTTCCATATAGTTTAGATATTATAACGGTGGTGGATTCTATCTATAACGTAAATAATACAATCATTTTAGATACTACAAGTACATTACCATTTTTATAACGTATTTATTTATTGTCAATAATTTTATCAAAAATATGATCACTGTTTGTAGAATCAAAAATATTGTAATTATATACATAAGACAAAAATATTTCAATGGTGTCAAAAATAATTAATAGTAAATAATTATTAGCTGTTTATAATTTAATACTTACATGTTACATTAGGAACCTTATATGGTAAACATATAAATAGGAAAATATTGTCATGTTGTAAATTGATTTTATATACAAAATATTATTATTATTCCAAATAAATAAGACTACACAAACCACAAAGGTTACTTAAATAAGTTATATTCTTTTTATAGTATATATAGCTCTGTATCACTTTTTCTTTTCATTATTAATTATGTTAATTGATCCTTGTACTTTTAAACAAATAACGTTATAACACATAATATAACAGCTTGTTTCCACTATAGTTAAGAAACAGTATCACCTTTTTCACAAGATCAAAACAACACAATATATACAGTCTCAAATATGTAAATAAATATTCCAATACAACTTGTATTGCGTGATATTAATATAAAGTAATACCGAACATATAAAATGCGAAATTTAATCGGTGATAATACCTTCTTTGGAAATTTAGTACTAGTTTGTTTAATTCATTTCAATTTACATTACATTTTTTTTAATGCAAATATATTTAATTACATAATTAACCGTTATTAAAAAACATAATCTATACATAAAAGAAATACAGGACCAAACGAACCAGTCCCTCACTCTGTATCCACAGCCTACACGATTTACTGGCGCACGCAAACTATACCACTTACTTAGGCACTCTCATGGATGTCATAAGTCTATCACAACATTTCTATTCCTACTCGATTACTCTGCCATAAATCTCTCATATTCAGTACTAATATTAGTGCAGTTACGTAATTTCATTATAATTCAGGATCCTTATCTGAAATAAATTAAAAACGTTTAAGTTATAAAAATGAAATCGTATATATTAAACACCTATAAATATAAAATACAACTGACACTCACCGAAGTTTCTTCTGTCCAATCCTACGTGGCCGTTAGTGTTAACTTCGGAATTTGGTTTGTTTTTATGAAGTCTGATAGAGAACATTAGAGTTGCTCCTACTAAAGGAGAAATGCCAGCTAGGATGAAAGGCAACTTATAAGAGTTGTAAATCCCATAGAGATATCCCGCTATGGGTGGTCCCACAGACACTGGAATGGCAGCAAGCCCTAACATATAGCCAATCGCTTGTGCGGCATAAACATTACCACATAACTCAAACGCTATAGGTCCAATTAATGCAATAAATGTACCATCAAATAAACCCATACCAAAAGCAATAGTTACTAAAAGACCAAAATTTGTTACAAATGGTAGGATAATAGTAAGGCAGCCGATAACATAAAACGATATTTGTTGCAAAGTTATACTATCTATTCCTTTTTTGTCAGCAAGATAACCTACAACTATTCTCCCAACACCAGACATAGCTGCCATGCATTGCAATGGTAAGTTATGATTTGCTTGAGGAAAATGATTTTTCATAAGAGCCTTGATATGAACATATGGCACAAGATATCCAAACAAAGAAAGTGGCATCGATAGTGCCCACAACTTATATCTTTTATTTTTCCAAATGTCTACATTTAATATTGATTTCACTAAAGACTTAAAAGGGTCATCTTTTTTTAACGGTTTCTCAGGAGTTACAACAGAAATAGGATTAAATAACAATCCACAAAGTGCTATACCGAAGGTAAAAATTGCTAAAATTCGGAAAAGCCACGTCAAACCATAATTATTTATCAAATATTCCATAAGAGATGCCATAAAGACTGTAAAAATAGAGCTACCAACCGTAACTATACCATTTACTAGACCTAAATATTTTTTGAAATAATGCCCCAGAATGGCGAGAGAGGGAGTATAAGCAAAGGACGCTCCTAAGCCATACATTATTCCGTAGGTAAAATAAAGAGCATTAACATTGTCTACAACAAAAGATGATACAAGCAATCCGACAGTGGCTATAGATCCCCCCAGGACAGCTGTCATCCGAAGCCCCATAAATGCAGTTAAAACTCCCGAAATCGGAGATAGCAAGAACATAGTTCCCATCGCCAACGGTCCCACCAATGCTGAAATATAAAGATTAACAGGTTAGTTTTTTTCCCTACTGCACACTTGTATTTATATGTGATACAAAAAAATAAATTTTTAATTCATAAACACAACTCTAAATTGTCGAGTGATATACTATATGAAGTAATTAAATAGAGTCACCATTTTGTACAAACGAAGCAATGTTCTGTAAATATGACACATGCAGAAACACAGAAACTGTTTATATTTTAAGGGGAGTGTGTCCACGCCATAAAAATAAGATGTAAGTATTTTTTAGTATTCTTGCTATCTCTATTCAGACACTTTGCGTCTCCCCTCAGCCAAGCGCGATGATGAGCACTACTTTCAATATAAATTTTACCGTCAATATATGTATTCCATTCTACTCGGATTACTCTATTATTTTTTTACATTAAATGTAACGGTATCATCTGGTTACTCTGTTTTTCATTAATTGTAATTCATTAGACAGTGCAATCTCGATATAACAAATTGGAAGGGAACATGTAATTATTCCTTATAATTACATGTTCCTTCCCTTCCCTTGTAAACTGATTAAACTGAGGTTAGCTTGTAATGAAATTAGTTGTAATAAAGAGGTTTTACAAAAAAAAAATAAAGGAAATATTTTTAATTGGGTTCGTTACATTAAGGTTACACTGCAACATCAATGTCGTGCATATTTTTTTAAATTTCTATACATTCTGGGATTGTTCACACAAATAAGTTAAAGGTTCCTTTTTTATGGTGAAAATTGAGTTTTTCAGTTACTTGTAATTCTAAAAAACATGCTTAAAGAAAATCTAACTAATGTGAAATATTTTATATTAGTTGCCTTATCCTATGAACAAAATATCATTGAGTTTAATTTGTTAATGTAGAAACAGGGACATCAAGCCATATGTTGGCCTTATTGAATTCCTCATGATTGAAGTATTAATAATCGGAATATTAATATAAAAGGAAATCGTCGTAGTGTCAAAAGTGTATGAAAAAATATTTTCTCTTTTACAGAAAACAACATAGAAAATAACCTACCTATTTGTAATTTAAAACAATGTTATAATATTTTATTATTAATAAATGCACTAGTAATACCATTGTGTTCATAATTAGGAGAAAACATTTGTCATACTGACCCCGATACACAAGTGATTTTATGTTAATTCAGTTATATGTATCTATGTACAATTTCGATTCTATAACTATTTTACGATATACTTAGAAGTGACCTGACCTGTTACAGTTCTACTATTATATTATTATGTTGATAAATTAATATAGTTCGAACACTGACCTCTGCCCCAACACAAAGTGATAGAGAGATAAACGCAAGTAAATATCCTATATATACAGTTCTGTTTTGTTCCTGTTATAATAATTACTGTCTGAGAATAAAGTTCGAAATCCATTTATAGAACTAAAAATATTATCAGTATTATGTGCTTTATCTAATTTCAGTGTATTTCATAGGATTATAAAATTATAAGAGTTTCTCGAGTGCTGTAAATAATCAGATTATAGCTACAAAAATAGATTTAAGTTACATAATAATAATGTTGTCTGCAGGATGTATTGAATGAATGAAGCATGAATTGTAACATACAAATATAAAAGCCGATGGCACTCAGTTTTCTCTGCCTAAACCGTAAGTGATCTGATGTGAAGATATAAAGTTTTTAAAATCCAAACTAAATATTTAAACTATACATTTTTAGTTCAATATTATCTGCTACTACATATGTAGGCCTTATGGGCATTGCTAATTCTGCACATTTACACCATACATGAAGTTTACAATGAATCTATATCTGTATATACATATATATAGTAACCTTACCATAAGCAGTTACCTATGTAAAATCTGGATTTTTACCACTGGAGGCATATTACATCTATTTGAATAAAATCCATAGTAATCAAATATTAGCAAGATGCTGGTGCCGTTCCGCGGCCTGAGAAATTTTGAAATGTTCGAAAATTAAACTTATTCTTAGGGATCTTGGAGTCTTTGCTTAAAAGAGTAAATCGATTTAATTAAATATTATATTGTCTCAAAGCAATACATTTATCGCGAAGATCTGTTCTTAATCCTGGGCATAGATTGGGATTTAATAGGCACAAGTAGGTATGTCGCTCCAGTGCTCGGGATGAAATTACTGTCTATATATGAGTATAAGTAGCGCATTTAGGTACCCTGATGTAGCTTTGTAAGATTTATTAATTTGAAAATGAATATCTGAAATTACATTAGAAATATAGGTAATCAATAATTTAAAATTCTTGAAGGACCTACTTTAGTCACATTTATTGTAGTAAGTACAAATATTTTTTACGATACATGGGATTGGCAAAAAAGGAGGTATACTGTACATGATAATACTATAATGTCACGTGCTTATTTGACTGTTAATGATTATGATAAACATAGTGCGTCAAAAGTTATTGCGCCGATTTGCGCCTAATGTCGTAGACGCAATAAATTGACCTTCGGCGCGGGCGCCACAGTCGTCGCTGCTACAGAGCAACGCAACGACAGCGGTGGCGCCAATTTTACAAGTATTATATAATACAATTCTCGTCATTGTATTATATATATTGTATTGTGACACTTGTCTAGTGTATAGAACTACAATGACCATTGTCAATCGGAATTCTAATTATCATCATACATCTATCTATACATGAATAATGCTTAGGTATATCTCAAATTCTTTACGAATGTTTGTTGTCTCTTTTATAGGTATTTTAAAGGTTGGCTGAACCTTTAAAAATACAAACAATATATTTAATTTTATAATATCAGTATACAATCGTACTAATATTATAAATACGTAAGTTTGTGAGTGTAAATGGATGGATGGATGTTTTTTACTATTTCACGCAAAAACTACAGTACGGATTTTAATGAAACTTTACAATAACATATTATAATTTAAACCAATACACCAGAATAACACAAGCTACAAAGTTCACGCGGGTGAAACTGTATATGTATATATATAAGTAGCTATTCGCCCTGGCTTCACACGGGTATACATGTATTACACATATAAACCTCCTTGAATCACTCTATCTATTAAAAAACCGCTTTAAAATCCGTTGCGTGGTTTTAAAGATTTAAGCATATAGGGACTAACAGCGACTATGTAATCATGATAATGAACTCAGCGTGAGTATTTACTACTTTTGATATCTACTATATTTAAAACAGTTGAAGTATATTTTTAATATATGTAATGCAAATTTTTGTCTCGCATTTGCCCATTTTTTATATTTATATTTCACGTAAGTTAGATTTTAATGGGCATTTAAACAACACGATAGAAGTAAGTTTACTAAAAAGTATATTATATATGACAGTCTATAACACAATAATGGTTTATTATTGTGTTATAGACTGTCATATCTGTAGTAATCTATCGGACTTTATGAGTACATCATTGTATCAAACTCATATCATCAATTCAATCAAAATTCATTGATATACTGAAAGATAAATATAGTAGTGATTTCTCAATTGTAAACACTTGCGACTCTAACAGAGAAATTACATATTGGAAAAATTACATAACTTTCTGCCGACTTCACAAAGGTGGTTTAAAATTAGACTGTATTTTAAAATATTATTGACTGATAAAATTTATAAAAAGGAGAGAACAAAAAAAATTGTGGAAAGGATAAAGAAAAAAGGAGAGAAAATTAACAAAAGGAAAATTATACTGCCTAACAATGTACTCCTTACATTTGTTTCCAATTGTAGTAGTAGTAGCAACTTTTAACAATAAAAAGCGACTACGATCGCGATATAAAAGGGTGAGATACCTGAAGAAAAATTGATATTTTATTATTTATTTGTCAATAAGAAATTATTAATTATTTTTTATATTACTTGTTATTTATTATTATTTCATATTATATTTTGTCTGTAATTGAAAAATAGCTCATACTGCTAGGCTGAGCTTAGTAAGCTCATTCTAGCAGAGTCAGCTGATATGGTGTCAGTCAGTGGAAGAGCAGGACATGCTATATTCAATATATTCATATAATAAAGCAAACACACAACTACATAATTGAATATATAGGCGAATTATAATATAAACAATTTACATTATTTATATTCCATACTAATGAATATTATAAGTACCTACAAACTGTAATAATAGAGAATTATATTGTGTAATCACAGCTATCATATTCTGACATATATTGTTATGATAACTTTACAAACAGGCCACTCCAGATACCCACTGCTGTAATACTGAAATATGTATAAATGTATAATACGTATTTCACTACACAGATCACACTGTAGTATGATGGGTGAGAACTTTTTTCTTTCTTTTCGTAAAATGTGTTTTAAAGAGTTCTTTTAGTCAATTCATAGCATAGTATGAAATTCTGAATTCTCTGCAAATTTTATATTTAAATGTATATTAAACAATTTTTCTGTAATTATATTACTTTACAATTAAAAATTATTTAGGTGGCCTTATATGATGTGCAAACTGATAAAAGATTCAAATGCATAAAAAATAAGTGATTGATGGGTACTATTATCAATGCAGAGATAAGACCTACATAGATAAGATCATAGAACTTCCATTCCTGTGGATGGGATCAATGTAAAAATATATCAATTAATAGAGGAGCCACTAGTCACTCTCTTCATACATACATACACAGAGAATAAGGGCAAATTAAAATTTTAATTATGTACAAGGAAGATACTTCTACAGAAATAATTCTATATCAACATTACTTCTACATTATTGTTTATTATTATTATCTACATATGTTTTACATTAGGTGGCATAAAATAATTTATATGAAAATAATATTGTATAAAAAGAACAAATAGCTAGAATAATGTGTTTAATAAAAATAGTTACGGTCATTGATTATCCATCCATATACATTCCCAAATGAGAGTATATTATACATCACAGTGTATGTTATAAACATACACTGTGATGTATAATATACTCTCATAAGACAGACGATAAGGGGATATAAAATAAATATAGAACCATTGAATAAGTTGATTTCAAAGTATTGTACTTTTTTATGTAACTGAAGAAACCAACTTGAAGGCCCACCTCATGCACTCTCCTAACATTAATAACACAAGTGACATAACATCAGTCTAAATCTTCATGCACCTGCCACTACCACCCCATAAATGTAATGTAGATTATTGAAATTAAAATATAGAATAAGCTGCCCAAGAAAGGATGCAAAACACAAGCTATGAGAGTGGGTACACTAAGAGTTTTGTAAGGATAGACCAATGCCATGCAGTGCTTCCTGCTTATACCATAATGGATCTGCCGTGAACATATATGTATATATAAAATTATATTACATGCATATATAAGTATACTAACCTGCACGGCTCTCTGCATTGACGACACCTTGGTTTTGTAATGTTCTTTGTAATTCTGTATAAATAATACTATAACAATTAATGACACCAAATAGAAGACCGTTTGTCAAAAATGAGCCAACCATGACCGCGTAAGCAATGAATCCTCCGTCCGGAGGTTCTTTTGTAGTTTCATTAGGAACATTTCCATTTGAAATAGATTTTTGTTTCACTGTCAGCAAATCAGAATTTTCTTGAGGATCGGTATCCATTTCTAGTTTATAATTTTATTGATTTAATTATTTAAACATTTATTAACACGTGGTGTTTAAAAAATATTGCGATGATTTCAGTAAAATATTTGGATACTTATTGAATTAATGGAAGTTTTTAGTACATAATTATTGTCATTAATATATTACTATTTTAATAATTTATTTATCATTTTGATAGTTTATTTCATGGGTGATTACTAGCACAAAAGTAAACATTAATTTGAAACTAGAACTTTAAAAATGAAAGAATGACTGACTGAATCAAACTGAGAACTGGACTGATTAGTCAGCACAGATTACTTAAAATAGAGAACAACACAACATTGTAGTGAGCGCAATGTGAATTTGTTTGAATGAAATTTTGAATGATTTGGGTGGTAACCAGTGTTGTCAGTTCTATAATTTAAAGTACGGTACTATGTACTATGAATACCTTTTTAAGAAATGATTTTGAGTTATGTAAAGTAGTCATTCGACTTATTTGATATATCTATAGAATTTTTTGTCGACTTCAAAGTATTAAAAATTGCCTTTTAGTATAATTTGTTAATGACTTTTAGTATACTACATGGCACAAATATTTCCAATTTTTTTTGTTCACATTTAAAGTTATTAACACTTACATTTAATTGATGTAATCTCATTATAACTTATTTTCTACTATAGCATTTTTATTTTATTATCGACGACTGTGAGAAAGGGACAGAATAGCTAAATTTCATGAGACTTCGTTGCCTTCAATTGTTAAACAATTAAAAATAAACTAATCTGTTAAAAGGCCATCACCAAATTTATGTAGAGCTTGAGATTGGCTATTTAAAGACAAGTATCATAGAAATAAGTATTACATTATATTCATTCAAGGCAAAGTATATATTTACTTAACACAACAGAGAAATATACTCAAATAATTAAAAGAAACAACTGACATTAAAAAGCTTATTTTTGTATTTATATGTATGTATATCAAACTTACAATTGCAACAATGGTTTAATAATACATAGTTATTTATTTATACTTTTTAATTTCTTGCAGCATGTATTTTAATGCAGGTAGTTCTTCTTTTAATTTATCTTCAATATCAATTTTCTCTTCTGCAGAAGAAGTCAGAAATTTTGTAACTAGTTCTGAAAAATAAGATTAATTATATTAATACATTCAATCAGAGATTATTTTTCCTTAAACATGAACACATCTACTTTACATTTAGATGAATAATTCATTCACACAATCACAATGGCTAATAATAAATATGTATGTTTAGATCAAAAATTATTATACATTAAAAAAATAAAATAAACATATATACCATGATAACACTGAAGTCTCTTGAAGTCTTCTTCCTTTATCTGTGTTTTCAAAAATGATATTATTATAGGCACTTGTCTACCTGATGCATGTAACATACTTTGAGTCAAAATAGTGAATATTGCTAAAACAGCTATATGTAGACATAAAGCAGGCTCACCACAAACTTCTAATTCTGCTATCAATTTTTCCCTGTGATTCAAAATTAATAATCTGAAACAAAATTTAAATTATTTTATTAATTATTATTAAATAATTTAAAATTATTATAAATCTTAGGCTAGGCTAGTTCTAGTAATTCAGATTAATATTGAAGAGGGTTTTATCTGATGAGTGTTATTAAGCTTAAGATAAGACTTTTGGGAATTGTTATAAATTAGCTGTGATGCTACACTACATTTTTTAGAGTATGTGTAAACTTGTGAGAAAAAGGTCCCGTTGGTCGGTATATGCTGAACCGGGTCATTTGGTCGTCCATAACTAAATAGCCTATTAAATGTATTTTCTTTATTTAAATATGTAACTTACATTGGCAGCAATAACACATTCTTATTTAAATATATAAGATCATTATAAATTTAAAGATAAGAAATTTTTGTTGACTTCAATGTATTAAAAATTGTCTTCTAGTATAATTTGTTAGTGACTTTTAGTATAGTACAACATGGAACAAATGTTTCCAATTTTTTTTTGTTTACATTTAAAGTTATTAACACTTACATTTAATCAATGTAATCTCATTATAACTTAAGACCAACTATAAGATCAAAAATATATGATAGAATCCTAACAAAATAATTAGGGACTTCATAAAGATGTTTACAGTATTAATAAATAGATCTAATGTTGTGTGATACTCTCCTTAAAAAATATGCTAATTTTTTCACCCAAACAAGCTAAACAAATGTAATAAAATAATATGGAAAATAATGAAAAACATAAATAACTGCACTAACTTGTCTTTTTTTTTATCCACTTTCTTTAGTATCATGCCACATTCTGACAAACATACATCAACAGATTGATAAAACAACTCCATATTTTGATCTAATAGAGTATTATTTAATGCAGCCAAAGGCTTCTTGTATTCATCTGGTAGGTCATTGATGATCTTATTTCTCTGTTCAACTGTAAGTGTGTCAACTTGAACAGATAGATTACATTGATTTGCAGCGTATTTACAAAATTCAGCAAGAATGTCACCACCCAATGATTTCAACAAATATTTGATAAATTGTGGCTGTTGGTCAGATGACATTAATTTGAAACCCTTCTCATAGAGTTTAATGTCGTTAATTAAAATATTGATTTTGTCTTGAGTCAATCCATGGGTCTGTTTTCTATTTTGACTTTTATCTTGAATAAGTTTATCAGCAATTTCTTTTGCCAATGCCAAAGCAGTTTGGTTGAGGCTCCTGTAATTTTATAAAAGGTGTAATTAAATCTTCTAAATCTTTTTAGTAGTCATATGTAAAATTAAGTAACATAGTTTAATATGAATAAATGTATAGGTACCACACAAATTAATAATTTCGAAATAGCAATATCAAACTGTACTGCTATTTATCTGCTATACACTTTATGTTGCTGTATAGGAATAAATAATATAACAACAGAACATACCTTTGAATATATTCAGAAATGGGAGTAAGAAGATCATCAAGTCCTTCATTATCTAATATTTGTTTAATAATTGTTTCTACATCTTCAACAGTGACAATTTCTAAATCTGCTTTGTTTTTTTTCGTTATATTAGGTGCCTCATCTGAGTCTGAATCATGAGCAGCATGCTTGGACTTGTAATGTTTTTTAACAGCTTTAGTTTTCGTTTCACGTCCTTGAGTTCCACCACCACCTTTTCCTGAAGCAGCTTTTCTCCGCCGCTCTTCTCTTCTCTCCGCTTTGTGATCAACATGTGTTGCTTGTGACATATCTGATGCCTTGTTAATCTGCTTGTCCAGTATAAACTGTTGATATTTTCCTGATTTTACCACTGCTTCTGCTTTCTTTTCAGTCATAAACATACAGTTCTGTTTAAGTGTTTCAATGAAATGATTACTGAAAACTAAAAATGAGAATTTCAAAAACTTATGCTTTAATTATTTTACCATATTAGTATATGGTAAAATAATTAAGGCATATGTTTATATATATAAATTGGCAAAATACACATTACAAAATTATGTTACATGAAGTAGAAGCACTAACCACAAACAAATTAAAATTACAACAGTAAATGGATTTGCCCTGAAAATACAGTACTTTTTTTATTCACACCCACCAATAACTCCACAATTTTTCAATTGTAAAATAAAAAATTCTGCTACATAATAAAAAACAACATTGTTGTGACAAATATACACAAAGATTAATTCTCATTAGCATCTTTTCAAACTAACATTTTATATATGAATGAATAAACCGAAAAGACTCATGAGTCTTTTCAGTTTATTTTTCCTACAATAACCATTTCTTGACAATTCATTTTATTTACCTAAAATATATATAAGATATAAATAAAAAAATACCTGTGTTTTCAAATAATATAGTGCTTTTAGAGTTGTTTTTCAGCAGTTCATCAATAACATTAATAATATCAGTATCTGACAATACAGATGGTAACAATGAAACAACATCCATATAACTCTTAGATAAAATGCACTCTTCCAAAGCTGTGTCTAATTGTAGCTTTATTTGTGAACCAATTACACAAGAACTAAGAAAAGTAAGGTCTTCATTTACTAAAATTCTTTTTACATAGCCTTTAGGATCAGATATTCCTAAACGTGACAATGCATCATACTCAAGATAATTATTTTGTTTGTAAAAATTTATAACCCAATCATTTTGTGACTTGGTATAACATGATGGCACATAAAGTGCACTAGTCTGACGTCCTGTTAGGACCCCAGGTGCATTGATTTGATCAAACAAGTTCAAAAACAATCTGTCTGCAAGATTACAGTGATTTATTATCACAGTTACAGGAGTTGGCTTTAACAACCCAGTTAGAGCTCCACGAATCTTTGCTTTTGTCCTTGTAATATATTCTTCTGTATAAAATGTTCTAGGCTCAGAAGGATCTTGTTTACCAATAATAATTTTCCCCAAGTACTTCTCTACAACATTATGCTGTAGTAGTTCTGCTGGTAAATCATAGTGCAGTGTTAATTCTCCTATAGTTATCTGACCTTGTAATTGTAGTTTCTCATTAATTTCTCTTGCAATCTTTTCTAAATAGTAATGAGTTATTAAATAACCCGCCACAAGTTGAACTTCTTTTCCTTTGATGATCTCCGCAACACTAACATTAATTTGATTGAGATCCACATTTAATTCCTTGGAAAGATCAACTGTATTGATTCGTCCACCATGGACATACAATTCATCTTTTATTTCTTTTAATAGTTGATGCGAAGTTAAATATTCTTTACCATCAGTTGTAAATATAACATCAATTAGTTTAAGTTCAAGGAGCTTTGTGACAATTTCCACACAGTTTCTTTCTGATAATCTGTAAAATGATAAAGTAAACTTGCTTTTTAATTTAAGGTTCTATTTAAGTAATATTATAGCAATTGGCATACTGTAGTAAACACAAGAGTAAAGTTTATATATAACCAATTATATGATGTTATTGTAAACAAAAAAATGATAATTATCGTCAAACGAAGAAGTTCGACCTTTTTGGAGAAAGTTGAAAATTTCATATTTAAAATAGTTCAGGAAGTATAATTACCAATAAAGGCTCATGATGACATTGGTAATGAAGTATTTTAAATGTGTTTAATATATTGTAATAGAAAAAATATCTAACCTTTGTGTAGTAGAACTTAGCTGGGCTTTCTGAAAATCAGCTGCTAAACGTTTAATCTCATCCCAATCTGTCGATGGAGCCATTACTGATATATACTTGTTTAATCCACTGTTAATTCACTGTCACGTCCGCTATTTTATATTTCAATCATAGATTTTATAGTTGATAGACTTAATGAAAAAGTTAATATTAAAATAAAAAGATAATATGTGATTTCATTAATGTGTTGAGTTGGACTTTTATTTTGACAGCATTGTAGACAGTCACCAAAAGTCTTGCCAGACCATCAAAAAAATAGCGCTGTAGGGATGTCGATAAACATCGATGTTTATGTTCCATCTGACAAAAATGTCAAGTCTCGATAATATCGCTATAATAATAGTAGGAACAATAACCAAGAATTTACTTAATTATAAAAGACCAAGGGGTATTACTTAAATAATACTGAAAATCAAGTAGGTCAAAGAGAAATATCTATATTTTCCTAATCGATATTTTTCATTTAATATATTTATTCACCGTTTTTTTTAATATAGGTGATAATGAAACGATATACCCGCTTGGGGTAACGGCTTACGTTTATTGGAGTCCCTATAATCACCAATCCTCTCTCTCCTATTATTCTGTATTTGCAGGCAGGCAGGAACACTATTCTAAATTCCAATCTACCTATATGTATTTATCTATCAATTTTGTATGTTAATCGTTACTTTGGATAGCCAGATTTATAAATAACAGATTGTGTTCACTTCGTACCTATCAACCGTTTGCAGAATCATAATTTCTTCTTAAATTATTTTTGATTGAAAATTCATCTAGTTTACAGCTGTTTTTAAGTTTTATATTAAATTTTATATTATAAAAATTGGAGAATAATAGATTTACCATGAAGTCAAGTCACTTAGCTTATCGTAACGAATTAATTACAACCTTTTGTAGTGCTACCACCAGCCGGTCATGTTGATATGGCATATTGCTAGCAATAGGGCTTCTAATGTACGCTACTAACAGACCTAATAATTGTGGACCATTGGTGATGGGGCTTGGAGGTCGTATTGAAATCCGGAATCCCCTAAAAATCGCCGTGGTTAATTCCTGGTAAATTCGACGTAGCGGGCTAACTAAACTGGTTTCATTCTTGTATTTTCAATTACTTACTAGTGCCAGCGTATACCTACCTATATATCTACTGTTGATTAATACTAACAGAACATATGGCAAGACCATTCCAATTTCTTCGATTAAACCAAATCTAGTTCAAATTTATTCTGTTCCAAATAATCAATATGATCTTTATAAAATTTGACAACTAATGAACTTTAGTTTATATTTGTTGTAATAATATTTTTGTGTTCAGTCTATATATATTTAAAAATTCTCTGGGTAGTTCTAACTATTATTCTGTAGGTATACTGTAAAATAAAACTCTTTTTTCATCTGGCTGAGGCATTTATTAACATTTATTTTTGTTTTTCAATTTTTTATCTTAATACAACATACATAGTAATTAACAATACATAATAAATAGTCCAAAAGTATATTACGCCTACAAAATAGCGTAGTCGTTATAAGATTATCGCCATATGAGCTGCTTGCATGTAATGTCGCGAAATTGCAATGCAACCCATTCATGACATAGTTGAAAAAATGGGAATATCCTCGGAGAGAATAAGGTATTGCGATGGTGTTCCTTTTATTGAACTCATTATGTAAGTAATTGGAATGTTTTATATAATCTAAATAGGTATTCTCTCGGAGTTTATTCCGTTTTTCAAGTAAGTTATCCAACGACAAGGCCCAGAGCACCGGGCCAGAGCTACGATCCTCTGGACCGCCAGTTAATGTGAACTATATGACAAGAATGCGCGTTTAGTAAGGTTTCAACGAGTGTACAGTTAGTGCGGTTAGAAAATGACTTTTTCACATGTCTTTTTGGCAAACATAATATTTGAGAAAATATAACTTTTTAAATATCTATCTAGTGGTAATCAATTAAATATATGTATCTACAAAAATAGTTTGCATTTTTAAATTAAATAATTTGATTAGGGAAAAGAGAGATATTGTAAGCAAGACAATGACATTAAGTATCTATTTAAATCGCGGAAAATATATTTACCAAAATCGTTAACGTGTTTTTTATAATTGACCAAATAAAGAGTATTTGTGTTAATAACTACAATTGTGTCATCTAAAAATATTAATGTTCAACAGTAAAGATCGTTGAAGCATTTCTCTCTCGTTTGAGCGAGATTATTGTTATATATAAATACAGTTATGAGAAATAGATATAACAATATGTAATTTGAACTGAGTTCGGAAGATCTAATGAGCTTTCTTTCATCTCTTAAAAAAGAGACTTATGTACTGCTTCCAACCGCAATATATCCCGCATTACAAAAGTGACTAGAAACGACTTCTATATAAGTAAATGTTTATTTTATTATATTCGATACATGTAGAGAAATTGTGCCTTAGTCCGTGCTTACATATACTGTAACCATATCTAGATAAATACACTAGTGTGGGGGTGCGATGAAAGAGTGCTCAGACGCATAGCGGACGGCCGCGGTGGCAGCGTAGAGAGCGAACGCTCAACGCCAGTGCTAGCTTACGCTCCGCTCACATGTAAAGATAGTGGACAACGATAAGCATCTTCATACTCTAATACACATAGGTACATGTTATAAATATAGGTATATGCATATTCATTAAATTGACCATTAGTGCTAATTGTTTCTAAAATAACGGGAACAGGAACTCAAGTGGAGCTGTATATCAAAATTAAATCATGATTTAATTGCAAGTAGCTATTGACATGTCCGCAAGCTTAACAGATAACACGATAATCCGTATTTAATACAGATCCACACAATTAACACATTATAATAAGTACGTAATATGTATAAATAAATAGTAATCACATCGATAGGTACATAGTCTATTCTCGAGATCATGATTTGCATCTTAACCTATAGTATTTAAAATATCACAATAAATTGCTGTGCACATACGAAACAGGCAAATTTTGAGTGCAATTACATTAATGTATTATAATAGCATTACTTTCCGTTCTAATAAAACATTTACACTTAGAAAATTATACGTTTCTTAAACCATAAACGTTTACGTGACACTAACAATGATTTAATGAATTTTGTCGTCGTCAGTAAATGATATAATATACAAAATATGATCGTGTAAAATTTGCAAATACGCGACAAATGTTTTTTGCACCTAGGTATGCATCTACAAAATTTGCATACATTGCATTACAAAATTTGTTACGCATTCATTAATACGTCCACGTCTTGTTGTTATACATTCAAACAAATAATGTAAGTTCATTTCACTAGAAGATTTCATTCCAGGTACATGTAAGTATAAGTAGTAATAGTTAAGTTTTTTTATTCTTGTGGAACGAATGACAATCGTTATATATTTGTCTACTTGTAATAAGTTATATGAAAATTCATTGGCATTTATTATATACGACTAAATATTAATATATACAAATTGTTAGCCCAATATTATTTAAAATATAATTCGAGTTAGTACAGTAGTTAAATTAATTTTTATTTTGTTATATGACTGATTTACATATATATGGTAAAATAAAATGTATACCATAATGTGATAAAATTGTATAGAAATATATATTCTTACATTAAAAATATTCAAAATCTAATTATGCATGCTGTGTAGTATAGTACATTTTTATTCATAAGTGGATATTTAAAAAAATGTTGGTATTTTACTAAAAAATTACAACGACATATTTCAAACGAGATATTTCCATCAAAGCAAGTTGAAAATAGTAAAAGAATACGATTACTAACAGATTTTAATATGCAGTTGAAATATTTTCAGATTTTATTATAAATACCGCAGAGTCTGATGGCTCAAGAACGAAGGTTCTAACAGACCACAGCGGTATTTATTTAGTACTTGTTATGGACAAGGAGTACATTTTCTCCTGTGTATTGTATCATGAGATATATATAAATAAAAGTACTAATTGACGCGTCGCTCTGATGTGCCTCCTGATCTCGTAAAAAATTGTCGTTGTTGTAAATATACTAAAGTTCACATCCGTATCTTTATACATGAAGCTAAATTTTATCATTACGAATTATTACTAATTTAAGTAAAATTTATGACAATGAAATATAATTAAAATTGTTTTTTTATAAATAAGCAATAGAAAAAATACTATTTGTAATTGAAATAAAAATTTAAAATAGTGCAGAAAAGTAACATTACAATAATTAATATAATAGGTTTTGGTGCATTTGGTCTATAATTGAATAATAAATTATATATAATTGTATTATCTAAAATATATAAATGGTATAATGTTTTAAATAGTTTATACGTTTTATTAGAATACCTAATCTATAAGTTTTCTTATATTACCAATGAATAATTATGACCTAATCATTATCTACATATACAAATCTAAAAACTAATTTTGTGGTGTCACTACACAATTTGAATTAGTACTATATTTTGATAACATATTAATTACCTAATAAATATATTTATAATTAATAGTATTGATTAAATAAGAAATTTTAGATGTGAACTAAAGTAGCTATTTTAATATAGGTAATATATAAGTTTTCATTTAATATTTTGTTTACAAGAAATTTACATTAAGGGCAGTCCTCACATAATTGAATTAAAATTTAAACATACCCGTTACAATATTGTTAAATTTTATGATATAACATGTAATAATGTTGTCGAAGAGAAGAAAGTGGAAAATTACTACTGAATTGTTGTAATATCCAAGTCAATGGCTTTAAAATTTATTATTGGAGAATCACTATATTGATACTATTACTGTAAAATATATATAATTTATAATGTTTAGATAATGCTTTGTATATTCATATAGATATTATTTTTCATTTTATTTATGAGACAATCATTTGCAAAACATATTTTCTTTGAAGATTAAATCACGTAACTACTCAAGTAAATGAGGCCTAAGCATATTGCACTTGGTTTTCAGTCCCTACTTTATAGAAGTCAAGATTGGAATATTCTCAAAAATTCATGTCCTAAAGACAGATAGATTCATCCCAACTTTTTTGTAGTACAATTTGGTATCTTAATGCCAATGAATTCACAATTACTTACTTTGGTATGTATATATAGACACCTATATTAATATAATATAATATTAGATGGGTACTAAGTAGGTAACTATTTATAAAATGATATTAAACATGTCTAAAAAGACATACAACATACCAAAATAGAATAATAAGTATCAAGTCATTTAAAGACCTAAATAAACAAATTATAAGTACTTCTAGTAAAATTATGCTTAGGAAATACGCAATAGAATTCATGATAGACTAACGGAATGTCATAATGAACAATAACAGTTAGGAACTGATTAATGACTAGAATCGTTTTAGTAGATATTTTAGCAACATTTTTTACTTATACTGCAATATATTTATGAAATGGGCATAATAACTCGGTGTTATGTATATGAATGACTATTTATAACAATAATAGCTGCCTATAGGTACTTTAATATTCCACGTTTGTTTAAATACATATATAATTCATACTCTTATACGTAACTTAAAGTGTCATTGACGAAAATAATATCAAACATCAAGTACGAAGAAGTAGTAAAGACACTCTTGGCCCTGGCGACTGATTACAGTTGTTTGAAAACTGACAACAGCCGCCGTCTGCCAAATCTAGGCCGAATAATTAAAACAAAATAATTTAATTATGTATACCTATGTACACATTCATAGACTTCTTATTTTATTTTACAACCCTCATTATAATAAGGTATGTCATAACTTAATTAGATAAGTACATAAAGTGAATAAATATTTCAACAAATCGACATAAACATTTATGCTTCGTCAAATGAAGAACTATCATTCTAAATTATTAAAGTATGTATATGTTCTACGACTAACAATGTCGACTACCAGTCTCACATTTTAGTTTAATAAGTGCTAGAAGGTACGAAATACTTGGAAAATAAATCAGCTGCGGAGAGGTGTAATATTGGGACGAAACCAGATCGCATCACTTCTTTTGCATCACATACGTTGCGTGCACGCACGTAATATCCCTTTCGCGTCTGTTTGCTACCGGAAACCTTACACTATACACTTTAAGTGGTCTTGTTATGGCATATGCTGCACCACTACTTGATATGTTTCATTACGCTCAACGCATCTACGAGTAACCTTGACTGGTTGCGCCCTAGTAATATTGAGTGAAAGTTTGCAGCTATCACTGAACGCCTGGGAGCACATGGGCAGATCGTTCGTTTGTTTACATTAGGTCCGTATAGCACTAGCGGAATGTTGGAGCACTAAAAAGGGTCGGGGTCCAGGGAATTGCTGTTCTTAGCGGCCACGCGCCCACCGCAACAGCGCATCGGCTAAAACATCCAGGTGGGCCTTTGTCTGAAATAAAAAAAACCGCGTTATTTTTTTAATTCAATGTGATAATAATAGAAAATGTAAGTTCTTCTGTAATTATAATTAGGCATCGCCCTGAACTCAATTGCTACTTGTTTAGTTCTCTCATTTAATTGCCTGAGCATGTGATAATTTTCTAATTAGATTTCGTTAAATAAAAAAAACACTTTCTGAATTGCAATTGCAATAATTTTTAATACTGCCAATTTATTCTTAATAATTTTGTATAGAAATATATATAGGATATTTGGTATAATTTTGAAGTTCATATTCATAATAAGTGCAAGAACTTACAGATCCCTTTATGTGTACATAAGTCTGAAGTACTGTAAATACGTAGACCTATTTGGTATATCTAGATAAATTGAAGCAATTCATGAGCGGTCGTTTTCGGTATATTCACCCTTATAAAAATAGGTACAATAAATTTACACCCAGAATTTACCTATTCCATTCTTACGTTTTATATTATTAGACTTTAGACTTATATTCTATGTATGATCTGTATTTTCAGTAAAGTTAAAAATACCTTGAATGAACACGGTTCCACGACTTTCTGATAGATTTCTATAGAATCTACAGTAGACAATATTTAAATAAGACGACTTAAGTGCTAATGCAACTTGGTCGATACGTTGGGAGAGGTAAATTATTTACCATAAAATTATTTGTTATACACCTATTTAACTATATTAATCATAGTATGACTTGAACATTAAAACATAAAATGTTTACTCTCTCACAATATACCTACGTTTTATCATGCAATTGCATATAGTACGTAAATAGTATTTAATTTTAATAAGATACAAATATAAATTGTATTGTGTATTGTGTGACAGTAAGCTAAAGAGTGTCGTTTATTAAAATAACACTTACCGTTTTGTAGAACATGCAAGCTTGCCGGTCTTCGTCTTCTCCGCTAGGACAGTCGATGAAGCCGTCGCAAAGCACATGATCGTCGATGCAACGATAGCGCCCTTGCCGATCTGGTGTTGGGCATGCGAACCTCTCCATGCCATCAGCAGCCGGAGGGCACTCTGAAATCAAACAAATTAACTCAAACTCATAATTCGTATTTACAATATAAAAATAAAAACAATTAAGTAACATGTTACCTATAACAAGGGTACTATATGAACCCTGAATAAAATTTTTTGTTTATTGAAATAAGTACAAACATAAATAGTATACGTTATATGTATCCATACTAATATTATAAATTCGAACGGCGAAATGGCTGAACGGATCTTAATGAAAATTAATATGAATATAGATTGTATACGCTATGACGAGTACTAACAGAGGTATATGTATTTTTTTGAATAGGCTGTTTGAAATTGTAAAAATAGCCTATTCTTCAATATATTGGATATTAAAATACAAATCTGACAAAATCACGGGTTTCAGGTAATATATTATTAAATAATAAAAATGTTCTCCGTTGATTTAATTGCCAATTAACTTGCTAGTAAACTTCTCAAGTAAGTAATATAATTTAAAAATTACTAATTACTTGTGCAAAACAAAAGCATAATGTTCCGCTTCGTATCACTTTTGTTCTACAACCTTTTGATTATATAACATAGAAAAAGGGCCGGGCTTAATGTAGTTAACTATTATTATACTCAGAATATTTTACCTATAGGCTACCTATACCAAAATAGTCTATGTTAAAAAAGAACCACGAATTTATTACAGTTGTGTGTTTTGATACGAAATATTCTATGAAAATGTACGGACTGGTTATTTCTAGTTAGGCATTTCGTTAGTCATAATAATGATTAATGAATTCTTTGCTGGGTCAACAAATGGTTAGTTCCGTAAGTAAACTTTATTACGCTACTGGATATAATAGGATTACTGAAGTTTAAAAGCTAATATTTTAGCGTGAGTATAAATAGCTCATATAATTTTATAAATATTAACGCGGAAAATAATAATTAGAAACCATTAAATATCTAACTACAGAATACAGATAATAATTCTCTAACATAGCGTTCGTTCTTTCTGTATCGGCACATTCTTAATAATATATTAAGATTTTAAAGATACATAGTCAAGTGATACACTTGACTATGTACCTGCTGAATATGAATAAAATAACAGTACCTTAGCATTTCTAGCTCTTTTTATGAATAATTTTGTTACCACATAAAGTTGCTATTTACTGTCAAGTTTTACCACATCTAAAAAATAATTCAGTTCGACTAAGACTCTAATAATACAAGCAAGTAGTATTATTAGTCTTAGTGGAACAAAACTATTTATAATCCTATATAAAAATATCACCGCCTTTCTTGTAGCACCGTGTGATCAATAACTCGTTTAAATTTAATATAGAATGGCTCAAATTGCGCTACTTGTAACACAAAAAGAAACGTTTACGTTACGTAAAAGTTTTTGATTTCCAAATATACGTTGGCATAATTGTAAGGAACAGTAATTGCGCAAGAAATCCATAAGTATGTTTGGTTTCCGAATTAAATAAATAATCTAATAAGTTAGAGAACCATGAAAGATTGATACCAAAAAATAATGATAACAACTTATCTATTCCACCTTGAGATCATTAATTACGCAAGTCTAGTAATATTTACAATATTTTATTGTAAAATGCATCTTATTATAAAAGTTCTATATAGAAATAACTACACTTACATGTTTTCGTAAAGTACGATTGGCTGAGAGCTTATAGATTCAAGACAATATATTTAAGACGTCGCGGCTAAAGACGATAGTATATAATATATAGGTATCGATAGACTTTTTCCTTCAGCTTTCCCGTTCTCTTTACTTACACTGTGATGGCGGCACTCTACCACGAGCGTCTATTTTTAGGCACGGCGCCGCGCCGGGGAAAGTGAGGCCGGTGGCTCGATTGCGCGCGCCCTCTATACGCAACCCCTATCTATTCACTTTGTGGGGAGACCGCGACGTCTTGTGCATTTGTAAGCAGGGAATAAGATTGTTCAGGTAAACATAAGTAGTATTAGAGGACATCCTGTTGATTTAATAAATATTCTATTTATTAATTAGGATGTCTAATGGAAGTCAAGATTTTCCAAATATATGCATGAGAAGAGTTATAAAAATTAATGAGGAGTGACTCTTACTTCTAAGAGCTAGTTCTTTTTGTCTACACAGAAAGGGATATAGATAAATCATTATTAAATAATTACTATAGGTATTTGGTTGTTTCAATATAATTTCAGTGATAATTTGCTACTATGATACAAAGAAAGGAATTATACAGAAAATTGTTTACAGTATAAATTACTGTCGAATACTTAACGAATAGGAGGTCAATCACTCTTGTCGGTTCGACACTGTACGGGCTTCGATAAAAGTAAAAATAGTAACCACCTATTTATTTATTTCTATACTTCTAACATTGTCGGATAAATGAATAAATTGAGGTAAACCTGTTTATTGACTATTGTAATCTCAATTTTCATGACATTTCTTCCCGAGAATCATATATGTATGGCGGATTCATTGTCTTTCGCTATATTAGATTGAACGAAGCAATCTGCAATTTTTTTAATAATTTATTTTAATATACATATTTTGTACAAATAATTTAATTTTTTCAATAAATGTAAACGAACATTATTTTTTTTTTATTTTACAGTTGTTCTAGAAATATTTCTAGTGTATTGTTACTGGAAATTTCGTTATAATTTGCAGGCAAGCGTTTAATTTCAGCTTAATGAAAAGTAGACAATAATAAGTTTATTTACTACTACAGTTATATACAAAGTTGAAATAACTTCCAAAGGGATTAAATTATAATTTTTTAAAGACATTCGCAGCCAGCAAGCCACATTCAATTACTCTAGTTGACAATAGATAAGTAGCGTGATAAATTACAATAATCCCTTTAACCTTTGATCTGTGGGTACCTAATCCCAGATTTCTATTAAGTAAATTCATAGCATTCCATGGATTTCACGTGCGGGTGCCAGGTACATCGTGTGGCAGAGGGGAAATTGGAAGCAGTTCCCGGTACTTGTAACCCGGGTTTAAGGGTCACTATAGCCGACCGATGTCAACACTCACCGCTAGTGTTTGTCTCCCTTCCCAGCCATTTGGTAGCAGCCTGCTAGTGCAGCTATAGATACACGTTGTAGTAAAGAATCCATTGCAATTCTAGACAGGCCAAGATCTTTTAGAAGATTGTAGAGAGATTTCACTGGTATAGCGATATGGTTTAAATATCTGAAATTTATGTACACTACTATATATATATATTCTGAGGTATATGTATAAGAGAAAAAATATGGTACCTACCAAACTTTGTCTACAAATGTCGTAGGCGTTCCATCCATCTCGATCGTGTGTCGTACTGACTTATGAAGTTGTGATCGAGTATCAATATAAGAGTAGTAGGTATCTAAGCAGTGTTGCTAAATGAGAGTCGCACTTTACCCCCAAATTTTATCCTAAATCCCCCCAAACTGTCCTTATAGAACGTGACCATTTCCTAATACTAATAGTAGTACTGTTTTTTTTCTGTACATCAATGGGGTTCGATCCTCATTGTTTTTATTTTTTTGGGCCTTACGGCTGCGTGGTTTTTGGCGTTTCTAATTTATAAAAAAAAATGATATGGTACATTAGTAGTGCTATATTAGTAAAGCTAAATAGTACTAATTACTACATTGACTGCTTCCATAGTTGGTCTTGTTGTTGTTGTTTTAAACGTACATTAAAGTTTATCACCGGTGTGTTATTTTTTCACCCTACAAACCCCCTCAAACATATATTGTCCTTAAACTCATATTTAGTTAAGATCTCTTAAACTTAAACAGGAATTCCCTAATCTGGCATCACTGTATCCAAGCCACAGACATGCCGGCGCGGCGGCGGCGTCTCTAACGTCACCGCTCTGTTATTTATACGTACATAAGCCACACAAACTGCCCACGCGCTAAAACTTTTATCTAATTTCTATAGGATTACCCATTGACAATAAATAAGGCATTGAACCACTTTATTAGGATTAATTTTATTAATACGTTAAAAAAGATATTCTAGTCAGTAAACATTTAGCCAACGTATATTTATATATCTATCTACTTGTTAGCTATTCGCGGACCTACTTATCTTATGATGTATCAAATATAAAGTATGGAATAGACGACCATTATGAAAAGTGGCAGTGAGCGAGCTAAGTGCCGTATCCAGGATTATTTTTGAGTTTTATTTTGTTTCCATCACCCAGCCAGTTATACCTAAATATAAATTGATCCTCTATTTTTTGTGTCGTCCAGATTTGATCATTTGAGTTCAAGTCTGAGTAGCAAAATGACGCGAAAGCTATGAAGCTTACATTTTTTTACATTACATTCGATTTTCTTCTGGGATAACCAAGCTGCGAAAGTACGTATGGGTCAGCATGAATGAGCCGGTTGGACCCGGGAAACACTACACCTCTAAAGAAAATCGGTATATGTAATATTTTCATTGCCGGGATAATATATTCAGTGCTTCTAAATGTGACAAATATTCAAAAACACAGCTTCTATGTGTAGTAGCATAGTGTTATTATAGCCTATAGCACTCGTTAATGTACCTCTCTAACAGTGAAATAATATTTAATATCTGTTCAGCTAAACTGGAGAATATTCCGAATAAACAAACATACAAACTTCATGTCTTTGTAATATTAGTAAAGATACAGAAAAAGATTATGTTTGGGAGATCCAGACGACCATCCTCATTCCTTTTATTCTTAAAAGGCCTATAATATACCTTACGATTACCATTTTATTACATGATATTTAGATTTGATCTTAAAATCGTTTACATTAAATTTCAGCTTTTTGTTTAACAATATATGATAACAATAGTTCATGTATACCTTTTATTTCTTAATTACTAAATAAATGTAGAGTGAATGTCACAAAAGACAAAAATCTTCGTAAGTACTTGACATTGTATTGTTCGTCGCTTTTCCGTCACAAATTAGACCGATACTTATTACAACCAGCTAATCTACTTAATTTCGAACATCTACATTCAAGGATATTTCCTC